TCGTTGTGTTTACATGTACATTTGGCTACATGAGGTAAAAGCAGGAAGAACACGAGCAAATAAACTACCATCTACGCTTGAAGGACAGAGAATTGTATCTTAAGAAATTTCGTACCGGTATCGTTTTGCCAAAACAAACATTTGACCAAAAATTAAGTTTTTATTAATTTCTATAGCCAACTGTAGAAACATTTGGCTACAAGAAGCAAAGCCAGGAAGAAGGAGCAAAAACCAAGGATCAGCTGTTGAGGGCAGGTGGTGTGACCCGTGCCACTAATTGTATCCGGGTCCAGGACCGAGGGATGCTGGGGGGTGATGAAGGGGGTTGGTAGGAGATGAGGAGGGAGGAGGTACAATGTATGCACTGTCACATCTCAGCAACAGCAGTGTTTACGGTGTGGATAGATTGTGTTGACACTTGTCCAACTATTTGGGTATTTTATTCAGAAGCTTGCCAACATAAACATCGCTTACTTGGGTTTATGTGGAGGTTTGAAGAGGTTAGAAGATATTTGTGCAACAACTGGGTATTTTGTTCAATAGCTCATCGACATAACTTATAAGGCTTGAGTTGTATGTATGCAGCTGTTTTGCCATTTTATTCAATAACTTGTTGTCATGCATCCCTTCCACAGCCAACGCTTTCCAAGGTGTATACTGAGATTTGATAAAGTGCGAAGATACTGGTGCTTTTAGGCTATTTTATACAGAGAGAAGCTTGCCAACATAAACAACTCTACTTTCTAAGGTTTTTGCAGAGGTTTTGAGTTTTGAAGATAATTGTGGAACTATTTGGATATGATTTTTCATTAGATTGATAAAATAAAGGTGTGGAAAATCCAGAAGACACTACTTTATTTACTTATCAAGAATTTACTAGTAACCTTATGTAAGTTAGTGTGGAAATCCAGTCTTCACTCACTGTTTAAAATTACACTAGTGTACATGTTGCTCGAATTCGAGCAATTACAAAGTATTAAAGGAGTTATTTCAGAATTAATAACAGTCATATTTACAATGAGTTTAAAAGAGTCAACTCAAATATTACCGTTGTGTAACTCAGACCCTGGTTATCTTCGTTATTGATAAACCTAAAGCATTCCGGACGGTTCTCTCCTTCTCTAAATGCCTCGCTGTACAGGCAACACAGGTCATTAATAGAGGGCCAATTGAGAACGAAAAGTCGTTTTGGGGTAGTGTAAGGGCGCATTTGTTACCAAATAGTTAAAGTTGTCCAGGTTCAGGTTCAGACTGTGATGAGTTAAGCCTATTACGCGCCACTGTTCTGTAGCTGCGGTCGTTATCACGATTACGCCTCCTGTCTATGTTTCGTTGTCGTTGCGTCGGAGACATTTAAAAGAAATAAACAACAATTAATAAACAAATTATAGCTACACAAAACAACGATAAATGCACAAATTTAAGTTACAATCATGCTAACACAATCCATCATAGCGATACAAAACAACGATAAATACACACATTTAAGATACAACCATACTAACACGATCCGTCTTGGGGGTTATGTTTACACAAACTCAAATAGTAAATAAATGTACTCAATGTGTTTCATTGAATTGAAAAGTAAATAACAGCAATAAAATTATACAGCTGATCAAAATGTAAACAATTATGTTCTCCATAAGGATAACATGGGCACTTTCAAAGCCACTGGGGCAGGGCCCAAGGGACATTTTCAAAAATGTAAGGTCAGTTTGCAAATCTACGCGACACGCTCTTTCCAATGAGACGTCAATGGATAAAATCGGTTAAAAAATGGCGGAGGAGTTCAACCGACAAACTTTCGTGTAGCGTATTAATTATATAGATGTAAACCTCACTAAAGTGCCAGTTTTCCCTGTTTACACACTCAATAGCAAGCGAAAAGGGTAATTAGCATCTGTAACTTTGGCACGGATAACTTTGTAAGCCGAGGATGACTATGATGAATAACTAACTTGAACAGCCCCCGGCTACAGAACTATTTCAATATTGCCTAATCATATTTGTGATTATCTCAGTATGAATTGTCATCAGATCACTTCATAACTACAAATTTATCATATAAATTAGCGATTTTGGTCAGCAATTTAAATTTATTAAAACCTTGTAACAGGTTGTTTTGAGGTTAGTAAATTAATCGAGGAGGCACTATCGAGCAAAAATACTGTATAATCGAATATTTTAGCTAAAAATATTTACTCGTAACTGTATTATGTATTCATTGGTGTTGACGCGATATGTGAATTAACCGACGTAACTGATTTATCTACCTAACTTCCCATCAGCACTGTTGTGATGTCCTATGTAATGCAGGCAGGCATGAATTTGACGAGATTGACCTACATCTACTAAACTGAGATCACGTTTTAGACATTCGAAATAAATCATTTATACACGCGGGATTTCGTTAAAACCAAGAACTTAGTTCACCTGATCGAACATTACGAGCTTCTATTGCAGTGTTCCCTGTATCTTTGAGGTACAGACTATAGCTCACTTACTGCCCTAACAATGTGGCACATACATTAACAATTTAAGCTTAATATTAAAGATTTTTAAACGGGGTTTTTGTATTCAACTTCAATCTGAAAAGCTACGATGACATTCTGTTTTTTTTTTTTTTTTTTTTTTTTTTTTTACACCAACATTAAATAGTATTACAAATGAGGATATTACTAACTCCATGCTTTAATACTCGAATGATTTCTATTCAATGTAAGTACATGGTTATCATACGATACATTATCGTTTAGGTTAGATTGAAAATTTTTAATATTATAGCTACAAGACAAAAAAGAGTTGTTGGAGCGCTATCTTTTAGTGGAATGCTCTTCTTGCAAATAGTTAAACTAAACCACTATAAGTGTCGATGACACAAAGTTTGGTAGAGACTAAGTCGTCGCATTATTCACGGAAACTAATCATATCTGCTAATTTTAACACGAAGCCATCGACTGCCCGCAGCTGACGCCTTGGCACAGCCGCGAGGCTCGGTTAGAAATAGCGACTTTTGGTCGCTAATATTTCAACATCCAATATAAATCCGTCCAGACCCCATAATTGCAAGATGTAACGCCCAATTAGGTCAAACCGGGCCAATCAAATTACTGTGATTTCGGTTGATGTTTAAATCCAATTATTGAGCTAGTAATCGAATCCGAAGGGGTCTGGATCAAATTATGTTGACGAAACTGGGTAACTGATTCGAACTACCTGTTCTGTTTACTAACAAAAGTCCAGGCGATTGTGGGAATTTACTGACCAAACCCAAATTGTACTCGAAGGTTTAAGATAATCACACAATTTATAGGAATAAAAATTACAACGATATCTGGCGGTAATACAAAAACTTAGTAATAGTAAAAATTTAGTAAAAGCTTTGAAACAAACAAAATACAGTACAAATAAAACTGCCAATCAAACCCACAACTAACAGTGGATAGTCGAATAGTCCATCGCCAACCGAACTCTCAGCACGCAGTGGACGGCGGTGGGCGAGCATCCAGCCTATAACCGCGTCCGCCCACAACACGCGGTAATTAAAACAGATTCATTCCGCCAATAAATACACCGAACACTTGTTTTATTGTTGGAAATAAGCTCCGTAAGTGTTTTCAGCTTAATTAAGCGGCTGGATGATTTGCGACGCGGGCAGTCCACCGTGCCAATGTCGGGTAGTGTACTCGAGCTGGGTACAGATTTGCAGGAAAGATCCTAAACTGCTTTACCTGAGTGTAAAGCCACTAGAGTGGTATGTGCAATGTGCATTGGTAACTTTACTTACAATGGGAACTGTTGGAGGAGAGAATCACATTCGCGGTTGAACTACGACATAACTTGCCACTTACTGGTATCTTAAGACACCTTACTGGTTGGATCTGATAAAAACATCACCCTAAGTGGATAATCCAACCAATAGTTAAGAAATGAACGTTTAGAATATTCCATAAAATTTAACACTGATGAGATTAAATGACAGTACTTTACACAGAAGGTACTTTCAGTCTGAGTTAAATTCCACTTGAAGTGATTCATTGAAACAACATTCAAGAAACAGTATTTAAAAAACTCGCTTTTAATATGCCATGAAACTAAATACTGAGATAAAATAACATCCCACTTTACAGAGAATTAACTCGTTAAACATAAACGAACTAACGGAGTTGCAGACGAGTTGCGAGTTCCAACTCCAAGCAAACAGTTTAAGCCAACACTTCAAAACTATTTTCATCGTGCATTTTATACCCTCTAGCAACTCAATGTGATGTTTTTAAAATTGAAAATTGTTATTTGATGCATGAATAAAGCTGCATAAGTATTGAAGTTTGAAATTTATGCATACTATTGCGAAGTTTGAGTGAGAATTGCATTTCAAGAAAAATAGAGTTGGCACTATACCAATTACTCTTGGAAGATTTTAATTTGCAAAAAAGGATTTAAAACCCCTTTAATTACATTAAGGACGATACAACTCAATTTAAAAATTTAAATTTAAATTAGTTAATCTTAGAATATTTATAATACAAATCAAAATGTGTTTATGGACACTTTATTTTGGTAACTACAATGAGAAGATACCGCATTCTTCTTTGATATTATTGCAAAGCATTATTTTGGATTTGAACCTACATTAAGTTGACTAATCCTAACCCAGTAAAACATTCCAGTAATTTGAGTGCAAACGAGACATTCAAATTTGCCGTTACACTTGCATTACTACAAGTAATAATACGATGCCTCCATTTCATTCCCTTGCCGTTAACAGAAGAGAAAAACACGGGTCGCCAATTATTTAATACACCAATAGGAGTTTTGGAAAAGCAGAGTGGGAATGCCGTTTCCGCACTACTACACCACTGACGATGTGCAACAAGTCAAGACGCCACGTTTTTTTACGCAACAGACAAATTAAAATACATGTAAGTGTAATCGTTACCAAATATACAATAAATGATTATCTTAAGTTTATTTAAACATAGTAATGTTTATAATCTTACCTTTTTCTCGATGTAAGGCCCCTTGATGGAGGCGTACATGATGGCGTCAGATATCCTCGTGGTCAGCGTCCTCAGCACGGCCTCCACCCCGTTGTGTTCCCTGGTCTGTCTCACCAGACGTTCCGTCTCGCTCAGGAAGTTGTTCCAAGGAAGGTCCAGCTCATGGGCTCGCTGCTGGGTCAAACAGCCTCGCATCACATTCAGGCAGTAGCCGTTGCAAGGTTTGATGGTCGACGGTAGACCCTGACATCGCGGACAGTAGTACAACCTCATCAGGGCTTCATAGCAGTTATCCAGCCCGGAGGAGTTGGACGAGGACATCAGCTGATCAGTGGTGTTCAGGATGTCCGCTCCCAAAAGTAACGCTTCAAGGAGCACTTTGGTTTCCTCGAAGGTTTTCGCGATGTCCACGGCTATTTCCCGCGGGTAGTCGCTGAAGGGGAGTATATCCGGAAAAGCTTTCCGCAGACAAACTTTGTACTCTTCCGTGAAGTCGGTGGCGTGCAGGTTCACCGCTTGGTGGTACACCAGTGGGAACAGCTGGGCGAAGAAGTCGAGCACCAGCTCCTGCAGCGCGGTGGAGTCCCCTGAGGGGATGCTGGATGGTAGCCCGGGGCCCAAACCGGGGTCGCTGCGGTTCAGGTACGACAGGAGGCTGCCGTAGAGCGCGGAGATGGGAGGATGTGCGAGTGTGAACATCCGAGAATACGCCTCGCTGAAGAGGGTCAGCGTCTTGTTCTCTGACGTCCTCGCCAACAATGTCACATGACCTGAAACAAGGAGAACACTTTTGTCAGTATTTCATTACAAATCATATTGAACTCGGTGGGAAATTCATACAAAACACCAGATGGAAAACTTGTCCTTCAATCAATTTAGTTTGTAAAACGTATTGTAACAACTTAGAAATCTGAACTTACATGTTACGTAGGTCTTAGATAGATTCTACTTTAGTAATACTACTGGCATAGTACATAAGGTAACATACTAACAACGACTTTGTATACAGTAAACAGTTAGACATCCTACCTTTATGGGGACCAGCTATAGCCAATTTTTCTGCGATCAGATCCATTTTCTTTTATATTATTATAATACTTTTAATTTAGATACTTTGATGAATGATGTGACAATTTAAGATGCCACATATAGTTAAGAGTAGCTAGCCATATAAGTTTGATTTGCTTTTAATAAAGTAAGTGTATACAAAACATTAGTAATTGACAGTAGAAGCTTGATTCAACTACTATTTTAATTCGGAATTTTTCGACAAAAAAATGTAAATAAAATGTCTACTTCTCTATATAGTCAAACATAATTCTAATAAGGTAGCATATCGTTACAGGCAAATCATTCGAAACTTCATGCCATCCTAAGATTTTGATCCCACAATAAAAATAATTCATCTCCTACAACCGTCTTATTGGGCCCACAATCTGTCATCTCTAGGTGTATGAGTTCCAAGGTTCAACATATCAACAGATGTTGCATTCTCTATACATATGTCGCAACAGCAAGTACATTGTCGGGGTGACTCATTCGGTCCTGGTTAGGTTAAACAGGTCGCGACCACAGATAGATTATAGCCACAGTAGGTGGCATTCAATTGCAACATAGAATCTCTTTTCAATCTCTCGGCCGATCTCTCGGAAAGATCAAAGAGATTAATATGAATCACTTAACGCTAACCATATTTTCGTGTATCAATGGAAATGTGTATGTGTGCAGGGTAAGTGTAAAATATTTTCATCGTGTCATTTGACGTTGTATTAACATTCTAATAGATATATAAAAATTGGCCCGACAATACTCGATGTATTTACGTACACATTTTATATTTTTACAAAACGGCAAAAATATGTGTTACATTGGCTATTGGATATCTACCTGAACCTCAAGTCATCATCAGAGCCAATCGGACACTCAGATCATACAAGATTATTAACGTAGCCAATGTAAAATATTTATTATATTTTTAACATCTTGTAAACATGTACACTATATAGAATAGTGTTAAGACTATTATATCACATTATAGCTCTAACAAGTACAATTTTAATGAATAAGTTATTTATTTACGATCTAAACTATGCATGAAAAACGTATACAATTCAAAACAAAAACGTTCTATCACGTCAGAACACACAGCAAGAAAACACAAATAAAATATATCATTGTTTTGTGTACTTCGGTACAACAGTTGTGAAGACTGAGATAAACCAAAAAGCACGTAGAGGAAAGTAAAGGTTGGTTTACCCGCCCTACCACCTACGCACACATGTACAGACATACACACTCACACGTACACAGACAGCAGAGCCAGGGTTGAGCTGTACAAACTGCGGATGCGAGCTTTAGCCTTCACGTGTTCCGATTTTTAAACAACTCGGAACGTTTTAGGTAACGACTCCGCCCGAGCGTGCTCTAGGAACTTTAGGACTTAAAAGAGACGGTATTTTATTAACTTATATAAATATATGTTTTATTTTAAGAGGACACTTATTTCGATACACGAAAACCGTGTTAAGAATAAATTGTGATAAATTTAATCATTCAATTTAATCGGGTTCATTGGTATATCAAATAAGGGAAGACAGCTTATTATTTGTTCACGAAGTGTCATAATTTATTGTTCCAAATAATGTGTGAAATTTATTGTTTCAATAGGCATGTAGTGTTCAGATTTTAGTAAATATGAAAAAATATGCTTGGAATAAAGTACTGTACGGTAATAGAACCGATTCCCCAAAAACTTAAGACTCTGTCAGATAATCTTTTACGACCTGTATTCTTTTATTTTACATGAAAATATAATAAATTACTTTTAATTTTCCAAAACCCCACAATTTTTAAACGAGTGAAATTTACTGTAGTGATGGTGATCGTACTGAATTTGAAGCTTGCAACTTAAATAGATTTTAAGTTATTAATATTTTAGGGTAAATAACATACCAACAGACATATACACGGTTTCGGCCTATGTTCAGATTACAATTTAGGTATGATCAGATGCAAGGAACAAATCCACATAGAGAGACAAGAGAGTTTTCTGACACATTGAAGAAAAAAACATTCCCTTGGGCTAGACAAAAGCAATTAATAACTGCAATACCACAATACCGGCTTGAACCATAACATATTTACTCCAACCCAAATATATATACTGCTGATATTTTGACACTAAAAACAATACAAACACAATGAAAACTTCGAAGGTAAATGCGGCGAAACACTTTCACGAAGGGTCAGAACGCAGATGTAATAAATCTACGAATGATTTAAACATTTGCAAAACTTTCGCAATCTTAAACCCAGCCGAGTTAATAATGTAAGCCATTTTCTCGCTTAATTCCGTGTTGTACCAACTTAGGTAGATTGTAAATGGGGGTGAGGGTGGGACGCAGGGGGTAACTTGGCAACTGACTTGATTATTCTGGACACAGCCAATCAAAAGTTATTCCTTTAGAGGGTGAGTTTTATTAAGTTATCACGGTAAAGGAACTTTGATAGTTCGAAGGGGTTCTTTTATCAAGTTGTCCAAAGACAGCTTCCTTGCTGTTGTGATGTGTGGAATTGGGTGAAATAAATTGGTTAAAATGCACACGAGTATCCAAAATCATGACTTGCACAGTATATTTAAAGTGAGATCACATTGTAGATGAAATACGTCTGTGAATTCGATGAATTTATGTTTTTAATTAATTGCAGATAAGGAAATTATAGCGATTTCATAAAAAAAATTGAAAAAATCTTGATTACTATATTCATAAAATATTATAAATCTACCATCACAAAAAATATTCAAGTAAAATATACCAGAAAGATTTTTAAATTTAACGTGATATTTTGTAATAAACTTCCAAGTGTTATGTATTGGGTAGAAACCAAGAGATTTCAATATTTCAAATGAGTCAATATTAAATCCTAACCCTTTTTTTACTGTAAAACAATCCTCATCCATCATAATACGGGTTATTAATTAAATGAATCATGTGGTCAACGCTATGAAGCAACGTGGCCAGGGTCTGTACCTTTCCCCAACAAAAAATTTTTACAATAACATTTTATTGTAACGGCGTGGCGTTTAAACACTTCAAATATTTGAGAAAATTGATATACAGGCCTAAACCAACAAAGCGTGCATAACACAATAGCGGTACCAATTATTGAGTCAGTGTACAACAGTTAATTGTTCAGCAGAGTCCGTGCTGATGGAGCAACCAGAGACGTGACGTCAGCGTCTGGCTCAGCTGTGATACTGAGACGTGAGATAGTGGTTGTATCAGCATCTCATGACACGCGCTGCAGCCGCTGCAGAATACACACACTGACCTCGCTGACCGTAGTATCGCTGTCTTTCATTGTCTCACTGTTACTTGGGAAACGATATTCATTGTGAATGCTAAACTCTTTATTTCAATACAGTGTACAGTGCCAAACAAAATAAAAAAGATTAATTTACCAGCTAATTTGGGGCCGAATTCCGTTTGGATTACCAAACTTTGCGGATATGCAGGACAACTTAGAAAAATTGCATCAGGGGAATTTTTAGAAAAAAATGTACAGACCTTAGTATTAATACATTATGATATGATGAATATAATATGGAACGATCACTAGTAAAATTGAATCATATTTTTCGCATATTTATTAGATTTATCAGGGCTCACAACACAAATAAAGAGATAAATTTGTGAAACATATATTTTTGAAATGACTATTCGTTTTACAGAAAACTTTAAGATCATTAAATTATATAACGACAAGAAGACATGCTGGGAAAATATTTTGTACATTAATAAAGAAAATATAAGATAGGGATTAAGTGAAAATGTTTAATTACACCAGTATATCAACTTATTGGAATTTGATTTTTAAATCCCCACAACCAAATCGATTATTTATGATATAGCAAATGCTACGTAAAATAATGTATTTTATATTATGAACTAACTGTATTAAATGATAATAATTTTTATATATTTTTGTACATTTTATTACAATATATACCTATATCAAAACAAATGATAGCGAAGACGAAGCACACATTTGACAGTAGAAGTATGTTGTATATTATATATATTTTATATAACTTTATTAGCCAAATGGTATTTTGCATTGAGATTTCGATTAAACAATTAGCCATAAATCTAGTACTCATATTTAAGTAAAGTATTGCATTTAATCATTTGCAAGAGAGCTTAACAAAATTAACACTTTGGAAAGAAAGGAAGATGGAAAGCCTTTTACGCTGATTGGTGAAATGGGAGAAGAGCTGATGAAAGCAAGTAGCATCTCCTGATTTAATTACTAATATAATCCCTTCTCATTAATAATCCCGAGGGAAGAACAGGACTCGGGGAGGATTGATTCGCAATCATCCGGGATAAACGGGATGAGCGGCTAAACGACCACCCTGCTTCTGCAATTTTACTCGTCCTTCATTATTATATTAAATTGATACATGTTTGGGTGCTTTAATAAATTTAATAAGGCCCGATTTAAGGTTACTAACTAAGTTAGCTTTAAAATTTTCATGTTTCAAAAAATATTGTATAAAATGTTTATTGTTTAGAGGGTTTAAGTCTGAGCCGATAATTCTGTAAAGCCGTGGAAACTTACTCGTAATAATATGTAATACATTAGATTTGAAGGTAGATTAACGCATTTTTTGTCTCAATACAAGATATTTATAACCTACTATGCACTAAATTTTCTATGCACCAAATTTTATGCATTAGCTCTACCATGCATTCTTATGTTTATAAAA